TTTAAGACAGTGGGTCTCATTCATTCATAATTGCGTGGATTGTTTCATATTTGTACACACAGGAGAAGCTCTAACAAAAAAATTCAACCTAATTGACATGAACTTGCTCTTAAATTTAATGGTAATGAATTTGGAGTACTCTAAATGAGCTTCTATGTGCCAGAGGTTTGTTATTTGCATAAAACATGCCAAAATCATCTCCATATAAGGGCTTTCACACAACCTTTCCTTCACAGCCTTTCGTCACTCTCAGCAAACATGACACTTTCTAAAGACGTGCGCTCTTCAAAACCAGTTCATACATAATAAACACCTTTTAAACAGACCCAGATTACAGACCTCTCATCATCCAGTTGTACATGTGTGTATCTGCGTTGTTATACAGAGAAACCTCACAGCTCAAGCTATTATGCAGCTTTTCTTGCTCTTTCACTTTATATGATAAAAATTAATAACATTTAATCTTATTTTGATTAGGGGATGTGGTTTTGTGTATATGTGGTTTCAGTTGCTCCTACTTTTTTCGTAAATTATGGTAAATTTATGGTAAATGTATGGCAAATCTTTCTGGCAAGTCATGATTTGTTAGTGAAAATGATTGCAAGCAGATTTTATTTCAGATTTCAAGAATAAAGATGTAAAGTTTTTATATTTTCATGAGGAATCTCTTCTGAATGGTCAAATCTCTAATAATTACAAGCACAGTTATGTAAAAGACAACCGAAATCATCATGGGCAATCAAATGGCCTAAAATAATGCCCAATATTTTAAGTACAATTACGCACTTAAAAGTAATGTCTGTTTGCATATTTACCAAATTTACTCCTACACAGGTGAACAAGACAAAACAGTCTGCACTTTTTACACTCATGAGTTACAAGATTACATAAGGACTTGCATTCATTTGAATGCATGAATGTGGTGCTGGCACACTCACCTCCCGTACGGCATTGCAGAACTCGCTCTGCAAAACCCTCTGCAGTGCCTGCAGCTTCTGGGGAGGCACTTCCCCTGTTCTCTGGAGTTTGTCCAGCAGCTCAATGGCACGAGATATGTCTGGAAAAGGACATATGCAAAACAATGAGGGCATGACCGACGCTGTGGACAATCATTTGCATCATTCAATTTGAAGATGTTGTCTTTGGCTAAACATCTATGCCTAATAATCATTACATGGTCAAATAAATATTTCAGAACGTAAATTCTCTCTCCTTAAAACCAAGTAATTGTCGTGATTTTTTTTATGATGATGATGAAAATAATTACTACTACTATTATTATTATTATCAAATTTCTCTACAACTAAGAAGTTATACAGTTTGTTAATTAATCTGAAATATAAAATAACTTCTAAACGAAAGACATTTTTGGTTCTCAGCTTCAGCCACAGAAGTAACTTAGGTTTCTTCATTCTGCAAATATTTTTAATCATATATTTGTACGTACTATTAAAGACACGAATATCAAAAGAGATGCAAAATGCTTAAACGCTTTTGCTAAACGACTAGCCAACGCTCACTCTTCACAATTTAAAGCCTCATAAACTGTCAGTTGGACTACAAATAAGATGCTGGCTGTCAGGATGTCACTGAAAGACTGTCCTAAACCAGCAGAAACAATCAAATACACTGATCTCTAATATTAACGCTGTCCTGGAGTGAACATGCTAACAGTGCACACAAAAGATCACTGCTACTGACAGCTAGCCTGGTGTTTTGCTTTCATTGAACGTAAACACGCCGCTTTAACGACAGAAAAAAAGATTCATACTTCACATTTTATACGCTTTCGTAGACGTCGTGGAATTTATTGAATATTACGAAAGATCGGATACAGCGAATAGCAGCTAGCTCGCTGTCGTCCACTAATCCATCCTCATGAAGTGACAGCGGGATGTTAAGAGCAAAAAGCGTGATTTACACAAGCTTCCGAGCATTACATTCAACAGAAAGCGTTTCAGTGAGCGGCTTACCTCTTTCCAGACGCACAGGTTCTCCTAAAGAGGCCATTTTAGCCCTGGATATTGAGTTGCGTTTGGCGAAAGCTCCAGACTCGCGACTCGGCTACTGTGTTTGTTGCTGTTAAATTAGCTAGCCTAGCTGAGTTTAAGCGCTGTGGCTAATGCAAAGAGATTAAAGGGCGAGTCAAGAGCATCATTCCTGCGCCGCTTCTGTGCAGACACTTTGCACACCATAACGAACACAATTTTATTATGAGCAGCCCGAGGAAATATCATTTTATTTTATTATATATGTGGAATATATAATATATTTAAGCATAAGGTACTAGAAGTCGTGCTATATTGTGAATATAGTTACAGGCTACTGTTTGGCACGAATACAAATGGGACAGGGCCCTGCTGGGTCTTACCAAGGACTACTTTGAACTGGGGAAAATCTGAACCTCACAAAAATAACTCAGTCATGCAAGATGTTTCTCGGGTAAAATGCACCAGGAGAACATTGTATTGTCTATTTCCTTATCTAGTCCAGTCACCATTGCTGTATATGGTTGCATTTTGCAGTTAAAAAAAAAAAAAGGCTCAGACTCTGTATTTTCTTTTTATGAGGGTTTTACTCATTAAGCAACACTGATAGATGATTATAGTTTCTGTACCATGATTCTTTGTTGAATCAACACGATGGTGTTTGATTTGATTCAGATATGTCTGAAAATGGTATGTGTTTGCTGAGAAAGATGCACCCATGATAATTTATTGGGACTTTCTGCTTGAGCATCCTTTCTTTATTGCCCTGTCCATGTACTTATGATGCAGTGAGATACTTACCATAAACAGATGAAACTCCGTGTCCTCCCTTATCTGTGGCAGTGTATCAGTGTCACACAATTTCTGTTCTGTTGTCTGATAACAGCCTTTGAAGGAAAGCAGGCTTGTGTATAGGTCTGTGTCTGTATTCAGGTGTATCAGATATCACGAAGAGTGCATTGGAGTGTTGACTCCATTGATCTACCTTTCAGACAAAAGAAAATCCTAATCTCTCAGTGCTAGTGATGACGACCTGTACCCTCTGACTGGACATTACATGAGGGACTGGTTTCCATAGAATTTACATGCCAAGTGTACAATAGGTCTTACCTGAGAACTCTTTGGACTGTTTGTTCTTCTGTGGAAGAGAACTGAATCTACATTGGATAGATGTGTTCATCTGCATTTGCGAAATTCTTCAAACTAGCTTTTGATCCTCTTGATTATACTGATATTTATATATGGTGAGAGAATAGGAGGCACTTCAATGGATCTCTATCCCTTTTGAAATCATTTGAATGTAGGATCCAATGTATGTTCGCTGTGAGAGAAGAGGTTCTCTCCAAAGCTTGTGCCAAATTTAGACCTGCAAAGGGAGAGCTCAAACTTTATTGACATTGGTTTTGTTTTTCAGTTGCCTATAGTAATTTTATTTCTTCAAATATTTCAATTTAATATTGCAAACAACTTCACAACATACAAAATGAATTATATTAATCCAGAACACATGTCAATGAATAAATTTTATATATATTTTATATATATTTTTTCATCTTGTGGGGATAAAAAAATAAACAGCAAAGCTTTGACAACAGCACCTTGACATAGTATGTATTTCCAACATTACCTTGAGAAGTTGAGGATAGTAAACAGACAGAGTACTGAGAGGAGGAAATCCTGTTATGGTTGAGAATGTAAACGGAATGTTTTGGTCGGAAATCATTTCCTTGTTTTCCAAAGTGGACAGTTTCTCAATTCACAATTGAAGCAGCATGCAAGTTTTTTTTTTTCTTTTTTTTGTTCCTTGAATGTAATTCTTCCTCACCCCCTCCTCTCCTCATCTCTCAAAATCTTGGCAACGTAAAAAACACAATGTCTCGAGGAATGTGATATAGTAATTTGAACTGGGCGCGAATGACTGATCAGATCTTTTTTTAATTGTTTACAAGATCATGAATATGTTCAATAAATAGACTGTAGTATCACTTTTACTGTATAAACTTCATCTTTTTTACATGCAGTCCATAAAATTTTCATCTGACGGAATAATTTACCCTGTTATGTATTTACACAAATAGATATTTTTATTTTATGTCTCTTTTTTTAGAACTCTCAATAAAATCTATACATTGTGTACACTATCTGCCCCTCTTAATGGTCAATGTGCATACACACGAAGTGTCTATCCGTATAAACCGCCAGCCGATCTTCCTTTTGCTATCCATGGTAAGGGCTCGCACGTAAGACTGGGTTGTCCGGCATTGTGAGTTATAGTGTCGCTTGTCTATTCCTCGGCAGCCCTCCTTTGTGTACCCTAAGGGGTTGCATTTGGTCTCGTAAAAGTATTGCTTCAGCTGACCATTAGTCACGGGGACTTTCTCCAGGACGGTGACCGTCTGGCCCGACATGTCTATGGCCGTCTTTTTGTCCAGAGCCGTCACCCACTGGCTAATACTGTCACAAACGCTGAGCTCCCCTCGCCGCGCGGGGTCCGAGTGCCGCCGCACGCGCATCGACATGTTGGCGGCGTCCAGGTAGTTTTTGTATTCCTCCAAGAGAAAGAGTAACGGCGGCTCCAAAGGCACTTGGTTGCTGATCATCACCCGCGAGGCGTACATGTCAACATCCTTCGAGTCAGCCATGGCTGCGGGACCGCCCCCTCCTTGGCCCTGGTCGGCCCCGGGCCCCAGTTGCTGCATCGCCTCTCCTTCCACCTCAAGCAACTCCTCAATCACCTGCTCGAAAGTGTCCGTGAGCGAGGGCAGCCCGCCCCCACTCTGTGGAGTCCCGTGGCCTCGGCTGCCTGAGGTGACGGCAACGGCGCCCAGGTAGCCCTCGGCCCGGTGGCCCCCCTGCACGCCCGGGATCTCTCTCATGGGCGCAGCTCTCATGCAACTGAAGTATGAAATAACCATAGTAACGAACAGGATGGTCATCACTCTTCTAACCTGTTGGAACTGGAGACAGCAAAAGAGGAAAGACGAGAGGGATGGGGGGAGTGAGGAAAGGGGAGGGAGGAAGAGAAAACACAACACAACGTTAAGCAACCATTTTCTTTCACCATACTGCAATAAACATTATGTTAAACACCTTTATTAAAGGCCATGTGTTATTGTGCCCAACGAAGCTTCGCAAATCGTTTCCGTAATGCGCTACAAAGTACGACACAAACAAAACGTGCCAACATGTTATTTCTTTGTTTCATTTTTAGTTACCGGCCCGTGGGAGCGCAACTAACACTCCACGTTTTCTCCGTCCCTGCACACACACCTGCATGTTTGTGCCCCCCTTCCCTCACAGCGGGCTAAATTCAGAGACCCTGGAGTATCATTAAGAGGACATGAGAGAACTGCTCCCACTCTCCTCCGTCTCTCTCTTCCCCTTCCCTTCCTCCTTCTCCCTTGCCTCCTCTGTTCCCTTAGAGGTGTGTGAACTGCTTGTGTGAGTATCAGACAGAACAGATATAGGTGAAGTCAAAAAATGAAAGAACAGCTTCTATCATCAAGGGTTTTCATGAGCAATTCAATACTGAATTCACTCTATTTTACATTTTGATATTTACTGCGATAATACATAATTGTTACTACTAAAATCATAAAATATAAGGAAAGACACAGTAAGAATGCAGAGAACGAACTGAAATGGAGTGATTAAAGAAAGATACACAGAGAAGGAGAAATGCAGAAAGACCCCAGTCATTCATTCACTCATTCAGACCTACACACAAACTGCCATGTTCTAATCAATGACATTTTTCCAGACTATGAAAGCAACGCAACTACATGAAAATTCCAGGAAACCGTGAACCTATTTGATTCCTCCTCTCTCCCTTCCTCTCTGCAGCTTTTTCTTACCTCTCTGAAGTCCCTCTATGAGTCACTGCGATTCATTGCATCCAACGGCATCCCAGCACATACGAACAGACAGGGGAACATGCATACACAACAACAAAAAATACCCATTACTCTCACTTTTCTGAGGAGAAGGAGAAGGGGAGAGGTAGGGGTGGGGAAAGGGGGCGGAGGGGGGAGTGCATTTAAAAATATCCAGCACCGCAGCAAGGCTTCGCCAGTTCTCTGTGTGCTGTCCTCCCGATGCCCCACGCAGCTTTAGGAAGAGGCAGAGGGAGGATCTACTCCCAGAGCAGAAGGCAGTACGGGCCGGTAGGAGAGAAGGAGGGACACGCCCTGTCTAAAAGGCATTTGTTTCATTCTTAATTGGTGTCTGGGGCCACGGCTGCGATTTGCTAGCGCAGCGATGACTGCCATGGAGATGTGCTTTCTATAAATAGGCCGGTTGGGAGTCCCACAGTCTCGATTCAGAATATCACAGCCCTCTACTTAATGAGCTCAAAGTCCCCTCGCTCAGTGACGTCGCAGTCCACGAGGGGTGTGTGTGTGAGGGAGTGT